TATATACCTGGCCAATCCGTTGGTAGCCTGAAGGACATCCGCAGGAGAAACCTCCATGTCCATGTGGAGTGCAACCGAATGCACAAGGACTCCCGTAGCATCCTATTCCGCCGCCACCGCCTCCACCGCCATGCTGCGAAATACATAAATATTGATAGTAATCATAATTCATATTATTGCGAAACTACACGGAAAAAGTCATAAGTAGACTTACTGACAGTCACGGCTATTTGATCGCTTATAGGAACATATAAATTATATTATATTATTATTAGGCGACAGTGATAGGTACTAGACACGGTTAATGGGTATGAACATTTAGAGAACACCAATGTTTATCCTTATGTGTTATCGATTTTACGGATAACAGGAAAACGTCGTTGAAATTATTTACACAAGGTGAATTTAAAATTTGGTTTGAAAAGTAAAAGGACAGTATTCTCTTTGAAAACTGGGTACAAATCAAATACAAAAAACATTATTAAGTTTGAAATTAATAATAATAAAATGAAGATCAAAATGATAACCTGTGAAAGCTATAGTATAAAAAGTATACTTTAGTTATTGTACACCCGCAGATATCTATGACGATTATTTATTTTGAAATTGGCAAAAAATTTTTAGAATATTGTCCTTATGGCTTATAATTATATCGTTTTCGACTTCTATATCGACTGAAACGTGTAAATCACAACGTATACTTTACAGATATTTTATATGGACATGAAAATCGTATTGCAGACCCATTTCATACCTGAGATGATGTCGGTCTGCCGTTACAACCCTGTGATGCACCGTACTGAGGATCGTAGATCTGTCCATTGGCGCACACGCACTGGTAGCCACCGGGCGTGTTGATGCAGTTAAGGTTGGGGTCACATGGTGAGTCGAGGCACTCGTTGATATCCACACACTCGCCACGGTAGCCCGACTTCCGGAAACCCTTTGGACATCCACAATTATTGTTCCCGTTCGCGGTGGAAGTACCGTTTTGACCATTTTGAGCACTCTATAAATACGAACAAAAATGAGGTATATAATAATATTATTTTAGTACCTATCAAAAAATGATTTATTTATTTTTAAGAACTATTAGGAATTATCAGCAAATAATGATTATATTAATAATAATTAAATTCCACCAACAAACTGACTGAATTTCACAACCGCAGTCTGAGCCGCGGGACTTTGTGCCTAAGATCCGTCGCCGCATCGACAGTCGATCGATATGAGAATAATATTAAAAACACACTTACTCGCACATCCATCGCATTTGGACATGTAATAGTAATATTATATTGGTGACTGGTGACTGGTAACTGGTTACATTATTTACACTTCTGGTAACGCCATGAAATTGTGAAGGTGGCTTAATAGGTACTATAAGTGAAGAAGTGATAGTGCGGAGCAAGTCGCAAAATATATAATACGTTTAATAAAATGTATTTTTCTTTTCCATAGGCGACTCGCGAATACTTATCGAATAAACATTTTAACAAAATAATCCCAAAAGCTATAATAACCTGTGCTTAAACCATTACATAAAACAACTTATCACAATAGGTATTGATCGACACATATAAAATTGCTCGTGTATAAAATAATTTCCATATTGTTTGCGAAATATATCCACTGGGTTCGGCCAACATATTCTCCAATATCGATTCAGAAATTCGTTTCTTTTACATACCTATCATGCCCTACTAACCTAATCAAATATCCAGATGTAATATTGATGGATGAATCATAATTCTAACCGGAATTCTAACATTTTGCGAATTACGGAGTCATAATATATTATGATGTCCCTACGAATATACAAGACGTGTCAAGGTTAATACTGCTATTATAGAGAAGTATTACCATAGGCAGAGATCCTTTGAAATATTGAGGGGGCTCAAATAGTTGGTAGCAAAAAAACCCGTGGGGGCTTTGCCCCCACACCCCCAACAATTTTTTATATTTAATAACTCATTAAAATAATTAAAAATTCTCATTATTATACCTACTAATTAGAATACTCACAAAAAAAGGAAAAATGAATAAAATACAATTGCCATTTTTAACTTAATTGTATTAACCTAATACACTTTTTTTCAAATATATTTAAAATAATGTCATTTAGTTACGATTTAGTTTTATCTATTTCAATGTATATAATAGTCGGAATAGCTCACTATGATATCAGGCATCAGCCTAGTTATTATCGTTTCTCGTAAAATAACAACAGTAAGAAATGAAATAATATTTTTTCCATCTATTTATAGAACCATATAATATGTTATTGTATATTATTGTAGCAATGTAGCCAAATAGCCAATACACTTGATTAGTACACAGAATAGATATACCTAGTATGACGTTTAGTGTTTAGCACGCTTATGTGTGATACTAGTCCGTATTAATTATTAAATATAGTTTTTGGTTCAAAACAAAAACAAATTTACATATAAATTTGATGTAGAATTCTTATTTTTTACAGTTTAGGTATTTATTTAATAATAATAATAATAATAAATTATCCCTAAAACATTCTGTAATCTGTATAAAAGTATGTTTTTGTTTCTTAAATTTTTAGGGGGGCTTTAACTTCAAATTATTTATTTTGGGCGGGCTAAGTCCCTGAAAGCCCCCCCCCCCGATCTCCGCCTATGCACTACAACCACTTTCAATCAACGACAAGACATCGCAATTAGAATCGGACACTCATTTCTTACACACTCATATTTAATTAGTAAAGAGCCTTAACCATAAAGCACTAACTATCAAAATATGCAAGTGGAGGAGTTATACTCAAATTGTATACCTATACTTCAATAAGCATCATACAGACCTGAACTTGCCACTCAACATAGCAGAACGCTTGGCGCTCAATTACGAAAATAATAATTTTTTTTAGGATTTAAAAATATGAAATTAAAAAAAAAATCTAAATTGTATAATTTGTAAAATCTCCTACCATATAATATTAATTTATAATATCTAAAAAACATTATAATATATAACTCAATAGTAGGCAATACTTACGTATTGAACCTCTAAATACATGAAAAAAAAATAATATAAGGTATATAAGTATGGGTATTGGTATTACGATTTACGATAATACTATCGCATCACAGTGCAGTGTGAATAATATAATATAACATATAGAACGTCACCGGTTCTTACCTTATTCGACCTACGGGCTACGACGATGAAACCCCGGAAGTTCCTGATATTGCATTTTCCATTCAACTGACCACGACGACTGTATACATAAATCTTTATGTATACATAGTGTGTATACAATAAATATTATATATATATATGCAATATAGGCACCTAACCTAATTGTAATGCACGCGTAAGCGTCAGCGCATTTGTTGTACGTACGAAATCATTTTGAGATTTACATGCGATACCTATATATAGGTAAGTACCTACACAGCGTGTGTATAAAAACGTTTTTTTCCTGTACGTTATATTGATGCCTGTTTATGTGCATTTTTATCAATTCGTTATATATAAACGATAACCGATGCCTTTTCCGGGTTTCACGAATGCGTTATATATTTATATTTGTATATAATAATATGGTCTTTGTATATAAAATATGTTTCACTAACATCTCCACCCGCACGTTCTTTGAAATCGAATCGATTATTTACGATTGAAAAATCGATTTTTACGCTAATCGTAATAACAGTCCTTCTTTTATTTTATAACGATCATTATTTTTTTTTGCAGAAAGACTTCGATTATGGGACGCATACTCTTAATAATATATATAGCGGAGAACCTCGTACAGTAGTACATATCTATATATGAGTAACTACCTAAAATTGTGTGTAGCATAAGACACAAATATATGCAGTGTTAATGTATTATTCATAGGTACTTACGGAATTTAATTATTACGGGATTAAAATTGTTTTTAATCCACGACTGCTCGCTCTCACTATGATGAAAATTAAGAAACTTTATAATTTTGGTCTTAATAATGATCCAATGTTTTTTTATATTTTGTAATATTACCAATGGTTTTACTTAACGAGTGATGTAAATCGTTTCAATTAACAATGGTAAGAGAAGAGATTAAAGTTTAATCATTTATAATCATTTTTTATGATTATGTTAGTATAATTACTATATATTTACTGATGTTTGTAGGTTAATAATGATGGGCTAATTATTCGTTGAATTTCAGTTAGAAATATGGAAAGTTGATTTATAAGGTCGTTGTATTTTGATGTTGTTATCTTGATTTGTTAAATATCTAGTCAGATATTGTTGGTTTTCCCGTGTAACATTAGCATATTATGATAGTTACAGGACATATTTTCCTCTAATTAGTCTATTTATAATAAATTATGTATTATTGGGATTATTAGGGAGTTTTAACTTTTAAATATGATTTTGTTTTGCTGTTAAAGATATTAATATACTGTGAGCAACCACGGTAGTTATCTAAGTAAGGTTATACTAGAGCAGTTTGGTTTTTGGCTTTGGACCATTTTCAGTAAGGTGAGTTCCTTTGCATTGAATACATCAGGTTAGTAAGGTGTAGTTCAGTAATAGGTGTTCATTTATGTTTCATATTGATTCAAATTAAATTTTTGAATGGCGAATTTAGTCTAAAAATTAAAAATTATGTTATTACATATAATTTACATATTATTTGATATATGGATGGCATAATTTTTGTTTTTGAGTAAAAAAAAATTTGAAATGTAACATAAAAGAATTTATTCTTTTGGTAATTAAAAAACATCAAAAATAGGTAGGTACATGTTAAACACAATTTTTTTTGTGACTTTACTTAATGACGGGTACACTCGACACCTACAATACCTACAGAAGATGGTGTCTTCGTCGGTTTTTAAATTATTAAAGGATTTGAAATTTACTGTATGTTATTTTTATTATGTAAATTCCATTGAAGCTTAAATGTTGGATTAATTACAATTAAATATTGATTTTCCATTATAAGCATAATATCTCACTCTGTAATTATTTACAAAACATATAGCAATGTAACATGATTGTAAAATGAGAAATTTCAAATATTTATTTAATTTAAATAGCGGTGTAGCATAAACGTGAAAAATAAACCATGATAACGGATCGCATAGCTTGTATACCTCAAACATGCATTGAATATATTTCTCAAGTATTTACACAAAATGTTCATTTAAATATACACGTATTCTACATTGTTTACTATAAATTATTATTTTACCTTATGGACAGATATTTAAACATCGAATGTAAAAATAAATTTAACACCTATTTACATGATGATATCGAACAATTTAATGTGAAATAATAAGTGCTGTTGGTTAACGGTGTCTCTTTACCACAAGCCTACGTCATGTCGATTACATTTGTTATCTCTATCTGTTACTTCAACTTATTATAAAATATACCGTACAAATAGTTGAATTTCTCAAGTAAAAATTTTTAAAAAAAAGTTGAATTTTAATTATTATAAAATAACAATTAAAAACATTATTGCAAAATTGAACAAATTTTATACAAGTTTGTGTCGTTGACATAGGAGATGCTAGTGTAAGGGGGGAAGGGAAAATTCAGTCCTCAAAAATAATCATTCTAATAAAAACCCATGATACTCACGGTACACTGGATCGACTACTATCTACTTTAATATACTGTTCATACCTACGTTTAGGTAGTTAGGTACCTTAAGTACAATTATTATATATTTCTACGTCTTTAAAATAATATTATAATATTGTAATAGATGAATGAAAATAGATTTTCATACCAGCATCTGAAGGTATTTCATCTTTGGGCTTGCCAAGGTCTTCAAAAGCCTTACGGTTTATTGACGTACCGTTTTGCACAGTTTTCAGTGTACTCTCGTCCCAAATTTTTTCACCGTCACCCAGCAGCTCTTCTGCTCTGAGCATGCCTACTTTGGACTTGGCTTCATTCTGAGAACTCAAATCCTTAATAATGCCACCTGCAGGACACACAATTATATCGATAAATATTGTACTCACACATTTAATCGGTGATAAAAGCACCTATACATAAAAAACTGTAATCAACTACCTTCTATGTATGGCAAGGATGAGGTTTTTGGTATATAAAAAATAAACATTGGAAAATTCTCCTAAAAACTATTCGCAACTCAAACAATTTTTTACGTATGTATATGTGACTGAAGTATCGAATTTGTTATCATGAATTTAGACCTAAATGTATTTTGAAAATGAAAAATATATTTTCGATTTTTAATTTTCTTAAATTTTGCAGTTAACGTAGAATATACAAATCTTAAAATATAATTCTTTTAAGTCTGGACTTGCTTGCTGCAGTTATCATCTAGCCAAATATCTATGGAATTTGGTATTGAACTAATAATTGACCTATTTTTACTAAAACAATGTAATTTCTGGAGTAGAAGTAATTCGTGTATTAAAATAAATTAAAGCTCTTATGCGATTTAAATATCTATACTTATCCTCATTATTTCAAAGTCCTTCTAACTATTATGTATCTAAGTCCTATAGTAGTAGTACCCTATGCCCAGGACAGTTACTTAAATACATTTGCTACGAATTTCGCTATTCTGTAGAAGAAATTAAGTTCAAACCACAACATATTTTACTAACATTTTTGCAAAATATAGAACATTTAAAAATAGGTAACGTGTTTGACAGAATCTATGTTTTAATTGCACATATTTCTCATAACATTTTTTTAATTTCAAAGCAGTAGTTATATTATCTAAAAGAATATTGAAAATGTTATTGATCAGGGAACCTACCTATCTATATTTCCATACGGCAATTTAATTAAAAATTATACATATCATAGTTATAAGTTAAGCGTTCATTAACTTTTAGTGCGAAAGTATGCATAATATTCTTATGAGTTATGATTAAACAATTTCTGTATTAAATTACTCATCAAAATATGCAAAGCCCCACCATTATGCATCTAATCCACAACTTTTGCCTATACCTAGTGATATTATATTATAGATACGCTACTGCAACTGCAGCAATATAATATATTAATATGATTGCGGTGTGCACCTACCTATGAGATTGACTTTGCGCATAGATTCTTCAAACTCTCCGTCGTCCATGTGGTTAGACATCACGAGACCAATATAATATAAAACGTTTAGTTTAGTTTCGTGACTATATATATAACAAATATAATGTATATAACTATGTTATAAATACGCACAACGACACTATATGCGCTCGCTGCAGTTGCGTCGTCGAAAACGTGATTTGCCTGTATTAAATGTGGCGACCGATAGTGAGAAAAGAAAGACGAGTGAAAACAGCACAAACGTATTTGATAATAATATTATATTATATTATAAGCCATATTATCTTAGACGCCTATCGTTGTCACAATAAAATTACCTATGTGCATAGTTTCATCGCTCACTGCTGTTGTTGCCATGGCAAAATCAACTATTGATAACGCTTCGCGGCCATAGACTACAACTGTCTAATAGTGAAGAACTGTGTATAACAATAGCATTACGAGCGGCGTAACAACATCTAGCAGTGATGTCTTGATGGCAAAATACAATAATCTATATTATATACCTATGGATCATGCCCAACTATACCCCACACTACCGTGTGTACGAGTAACCGAGTAATCTCCTCTAAGTTGTTACGCTTTACACACACCACTTGACATACACTCATTGCGTATCTAGTGGTATAAGATCTCGAGCGATAAGACACGAGTTAAATTTAAAAAATCATAAGAATTATGTCATCGATTATTAGATTTAAGAGGCGCGTGAGTGCATTATTTGTGCAAAAAAAAAAATGATTAAAAGAACATCCGTTTCAGCCAAAATGAATAAAAATTCTAGCGAAATAAAATGTTATACGCCAAGCTTTTAGTACCATACTGTTACCACACGGTAGTTAAACGTTGATTCACACCGTTCCATGACCCGTGAATCGTGATTTCCGGAAAAACAATTTGGCGCCGTGATTGGCTGAATCGTATGGTTACCTAGTGGTTAACCGAAATGTTCATAAGTAAACACCACTGTTATTTGGAACTATTGCAGATACCAGAAAATAAGATTCAATCATATTCAAGTCAAATGTTTACAATTATGTGTTTACTAGTTATGAAAGTAACTGAAAGCAGATAAGTGCATGATATAAGATCATATTATTAATATATATTATGGTTATGGGATTGTTATAACGGTAAACGAGTTACCACTTACCACTTATAGTGCAAGCTCTAAGGGAGGACAAATGGGACATATGTCCAGGGCCCCGCACTTGTCAAAGCGCCCACGCTTGTTAAAGGGTCCCGCGATTTTTAATTATCATCTTAATACCGTAAGGCACATTGACATTTAACATAATTACATTAACAAATTGTAAATTTATAAATGTATTATTCTATACTACACATCACACAATATGTATTATATTAATATTATTCCTATCACCAGTTATTTGGAAAACGATACCTATCTAAATATAGCCAAAAACATTTAGCTTAATTTTAACTACAAAGTAAATCGTTATTGATACGACGAAAGAGTAATATTTTGACGATACCCGTCGGATAGGATCCCTGCAATAAATATTTATTATCTCTATAGTTATTGTTTTCTCTGTTCTTTATTTGGAAAGGCTTTCGCGTATTGTTGTATGTCCGTATGGTAGTATTATAGAAGGGGCAAGAGCTATATTCTTAAAATATTTATTTGATTAGGTATCTAAAATTTATATGATCTTACTTCAGTCTTCAATTATATATAATATTGTTGTTGTGTGTACCTAATTAGTTATTATTTTATTATTTGTACCTAAATAATTTTGTGTTAACACATTATAATAACAAAAGGATAAGAATACCCTAATACTATTATTTTTAATGTTTAAAATTCGAAGAATAGTATTTTTTTAATCCTGATTTTAAAAAAAATAGAATTTTACCCTCCTCTGGGGTACCTAATGGCTAATACCTTGTCCAGGGCCCCGCAATACCTAGCGTACTGACCACTTACCATTGTGTTCATAACTTCACCACAAAAATGAAAAAGTATATAATTTTTTTTCCGGAAATCCCGGTTCACGGGATCATGGATTTCATTGATAAAGCTACGCGGCCAGGAATGCGAAATTACTCTCAGATTTCGGGCGATAAATTGCGTGTTTTGTGGTATTGCATCGAGTCAAGAGGATATTTAGAGACGTGGGCATCATAGAGGCGGGTGAGTACTCATGAATTAGAATCAGTAATTCCCGAGTATTATAAGTCATTTTACTAAAAAATAAAAATCATTATTAAAAGTATGTCATCAATTATTTGAATTAAAGGACGAATGTCCATTATTTGAGAAAAAAAATATTCCTTCCGTCCAAAATGTAAAACTGTTCTAGCAAAATACATTTTTCACAAGATTTATTATAGTGTCTTTAATTAACTCATTACCTATATATATATTATAATTTATTATATTCATATAAGCCAAACATTTTTGCTTTAATCATACTTTATAATAAATATGACGTATTAGGATAACTGTGTATAGGCAATGTAGATGTTATCGTTATACCTACTCGTAGGAAAACAACAAACATTTTGTTATTTTGTTTATAAAAAATTCAATTTTTTTAATGGATGAGGAAACTAATTATCGGGATCTTTGCTGATAAATTATATTATCATCAATGATTGGTATTTATTAAAATCAGTCCATTTTTAATTCTTGAATTAGAATATTACGAAGGAAGTGACTGGGACTAAAAACTAGGACGAACATGGAATATAGCAATTTTTAATAAAAACCTGTCTGGCCGAGGAAAACCTAACGCGATGAAAAAAATTCTCATTTCCTGAAGAAAAAAACTGTTCGTGGGAATTAAAAAGTAAAACGTGTGACTAATTTTACTTTTCTTTAAGTACGTAATGGTCAAGCCCCACGGAAACACTGGACGTCACCGATAGATGGCGAAAAGTGTAATATAATATAATAGGTACCTTCCTATTTGGACAATAATATATTAGTGCATCGCCTTTTACGTAATCATGAGTGAAACCATAATTTCTAATAATTAGTCAAACAACGTAATAGTTTAAATTAATTAACGATATCAACTTGATAATATTACATTATGTTTTATTTATTTCAAATATTTTAAACACAAAGTGTGTTACTGATTGATTATAATAAGTGTATATGATAATTATTTTTACACTTACTGTAGGTAGGCACCAGTTTAAAACTTGTAATATAATATGTAGCATGATTGTGTATGGTTAACATTGTGCTTAACGAATACTACGTGTTTTTTATTTTAAAGATATTTACATTTCACATGCCGGTAAAACACTAAACGTCGTTATCGTAGTTAACCCCTCATCGCAGTAAATACATTTCTTAAATTCAACGTCACTCGTTTTAGATTTTGAGCAGAGCTCAATACCTAGGTATTTCTTTTATTATAATTATGTGTGTTTGTGTTTATTTTTGATGTTACTTTTAAAATTTTTTTATTTGTCTAAAATAAATTAACATTGACAGCTTACACCATTATAGTCACATATATAGTACGACTTTTTGCATCATGTTTATGTACCTATACAAACATATTACAACAGTATTTTTTTTGTATCTGAAGACACTTTTAATAATAGGAAAAATATGCTTCGATCTTCAACTTAAAAATATAACGCAAGGTTACTCATGACATTTTCTTACAAAAATTTTAAAAAAAGTCACCGTCAATCTTCGTTAATTTTTCAAAGCATATTCACTAACTTATAAGTTATAAGTCAATAACAGTTACAACTTACCAACTATAGTATAGGTACCTAATGTTATATGAAACAATCGGGGTGCGTAAAATACCTGGAAATATTTTATCAGAATCGTTGATGGTGGTATTTTAGCAGAAAAATATTTTGCCGAACCAAATTTAATCAGAAAAATAATACTTCCTGTTTTAACTCTTAGTTCAAAAATGTTTAGGAACATGAAGTATTATTATTATTTTTCATATTTATATAATATTATGTGAGCTTACGTGCAGCAGCACGTCGCGTCGGTTTACGGTCAATGTAATAAACGTCATTATAATAATAATTACTTGAATTAATAAGAACATAACATTTTTTGAAGTGCGCGTGAGTCACTATACTAACCTACCTCCGCTAGGTATGCCTTTTAAGAACATTGAGTGAAAGACACAAGGTACACAAATCGCCTCGTTTAACGGCCTTATAGCACTCGTTACAGCTTTTGCTCAAAATATTGGAGTGTTTCAAAATAATATAAACTGTTGTAAGTCATAAAGACTGCAGGGGATATTAAAAATCACGCATCTATAAATAGATAAAAAAGCATGCGATGCAGAATTATATACCTAGTGATAAACGCAACAAAAGTGAAATATACAACTCAAAGTATAATAATATAATAGTATTATAGTTCACAGTAGAATATTAATCTGCTTATCTGAAATACTAGATCCGATGATACTCGAAAGAACATCTAATAATAATAATAATAATAATAATAATAATAATAATAATAATAATTATAAATAATATTTGTTTGATTTTGTTATAAAGCACTACCAACCACATACGTTATACAAACTATAGATAGGTACAAAAGAAAAATCTTCTCAAAAACCAAAGGCTGTGCTTGAGAAGACAGAGTATCTAAACATATCTAATATTTATACTGGTACCTATAGGCTATAGGTACTCAAGTTTTACGGACCGGCACACAACAACTTCCTTCAAAGGTGTGCAAGCTAATACAAATAAGTAACTACACATAATTTGAATTAAGTGAACACATTCAATTTAACTCGCTAAGTTTAAATAGTTAATATGAAAAAATATATTAACTCAATTCAGTAAAAAAAGCTAATGTACTTACTTTTTTTAGTAAATTAAAAAGTTATTGTTACTTTTTGTAAAACTTTTGTAAAAGGTAAAACATTACCTAGGTACCTATACCTAATACCTATACATCTATTCTACCCATATATTTTGGTTTTTGCAATAAAATCTAAAACTTCGACTTTTTATGAACTCAAAATATTTACACATGATTAAAATAAGATTACAGGTCGTAATGATGACCAACTTTTTTTTTTTAACCGAGGGACATAAAAAAATGTTCTCGGTGGGCTGAAAATTTAAAATTGTTCTTTTTAGGTTTCATTCAATATAATTAAATAATTGGTATTGGTAATGATGGATAACGTTAATTTTTTGTTCGTGATGCAGAACGTTATATATGATGATGTTATTTCTATATTATTAAATGACCACACGACTATGACGCTGAGGCACATTTTCATTCGCGTCTGATTAACAACGTACCTATATAACATGTAATAGGCGATACACAATAGGAAAAGAAGAATTATTCATTTTGTAGATATTTTAGGGACACTATAATTTTTTTTTTTTAAATGTGAATTAATTTTTTTTTCAATTTTTATTCAAATATTCAATACTCTCGTTGGCCAGTTAGTAGGTAAAATATCGCACGCCATGGTTGGGCATCCCTTAGTTACATTATAATAATATGTGTCACCCGGTCGGCCTGTATAATATTATTATTATTATTACCTTAGATCAGCGGTTTCCAAACTTTCTCAGCCATATGGAGCCTTTTTTTAAGTAGAAGTTATAGAAGAAGAAGAAGCTATGAAATTTAATAAACACATATTGTATACATATGGG